TTTCATGTTGCTGCTGATCTGTTTCATGTTGCTGCTGATCTGTTTCAATGTTGATGTGTTCATGCGTGCACATCTGCTCACAGACTCATGTTCATGTTTGTGCTGATGTTCAATGTTTTATGTTATGAGTGCTTAGTGTATATTTAGTTGATGTTTTTCTTAGTTCATATCTTAGATGTTATTACTGTTTTTCTTATACATTTTATTGTTGGATGTAACTGGGACCCTGTGTACATAATTTCGCTCCACCACATGTACCACATGAGGTGCGAATGACAATAAAGAAACTCTGACTCTGACATGTTTATGATTTCAGGAACAGACAGCTGTAGAGCTACTCAGTGTAACATTGAAGCTATACCCATATCCGATCATGCTCAAGTGATTTTAAATCATGATATCATGATAGGGCCAAACAAACAATTCAAATATTAGACAGCCAATGTATTTATTTTAAATAATAACACAAATCAACAGGAAATAAGACGAGGCTTGATTGACTATATTACATTTAATGACGAGGGCAGCATGTTGGCGCAGTTGGTAGAGCTGCTGCCTCTCAGCGAGCAGGTTGCCCCAGTTCAATTCCCGGTCCGGGAACCTTAGTGGGTGGAGTTTGCATGTTCTCTGTGCATTTGTTGGTTTTCTCCAGGCACGCCAGTTTCCTCCCACAGACCAAAAACATGCATGTTAGACTGATTGGTAACTCTAAATTGTCCCTAGGTGTGAGTGAGAGAGTGAATGGTTGTTTGTCTCGTTTGTCTCTATGTGTCCCTGTGATGGACTGGAGACCTGTCCAGGGTGTCCCTCGCCTCTCGCACAGTGACTACTGGATGGGCACCAGTGACTACTGGATGGGCACCAGTGACTTCTGTGACCCAAAAAGGAAGAAGCAGGTAAAGATAATGGATGGATGGATGACCTTCTATGCTATGGGAGTTAAAGCTGTGCAGGGGCAATATAATTGCAGTTTCATCAAGCTCAAAAAAGAAAAGCCTTACAGAACGAACAGAACTGTAAAATAAGATTAAAAAAATTGGAGAGAGAGTATCAACTATTTCACAAAGTCGAAACACTTAATACACTGAAGGAGTATAGACAGAACTTGAATGAGTTGTTAACTTACAGAGCCGAAGGCCAGTTATGTTTCATTAATCAAAAATAATACAAATTTGGCAAAAGAGCAAGCCACTCAGCATTCCAGCTACGTAAAGCACAATCAAATAGTAAATGGTAAATGGACTGTACTTATATAGCGCCTTTCTATCTTATTTCAAGATACTCAAAGTGCTTTACACCACAATCTGTGCCTCATTTACCCATTCATACAGCTCTATACTAGATCTCTACAAAGCTAATTGAACAAATCATTCTAAAGAGATTAATCAGAGCTTTATCACATTCATACACCGATGGGACACACATCAGAGGCTATGAGG